ACTTTGCAAAATGGACATTATTTCTGTAACAACCTAATACAAATGGACAACTTTCCCTTGTGATAGCTAGCAGTTTGCGTTAATGATAAGTTCATGTCATTTGAGAAGCAGAAAGCTGAAAATTTTGGAGTGGTTTTTTGTTGACATTTGATTGACGTTACAAATAAGCATATGTGTTTAGTGTCCGTCACGTTGAATCGGTAAAAGACAAGAGCAAGGAAGAAGAAGCCTCGAAAAAAGCGAGTCCCGACATCGAACTGAAGAACCGTGGACATGGTTAGAAGCTTCTTGGGCATTCCCATTTGCTGGAGACGTCAGAAGAATAACTATTTATTGATCTTTCGCTAGATTTATTTATGAGACGTTTTCAAATCTGTTTGTATATATTGGAACGTAAAACATGGTTGTCGCATAATACAATTACGGAGGAGGAGCTCTTGCATGCGTAATTTTATTTCTTTTTGATTTCACTGCTCAAGATGAGCATTTCATTTTTCCTATATTTACCATTCATCTCGAGATCAATACTTGTCGTCTACTAGACGAGTAGACAGTCAGAATTACAGCACCACTACCGTAAAAATTCTTTTTGAGGAATTAAGAGATATTAGAAGCAGAATGACTTCGAAATCTGACTGAGCAGTTGCTGAAATCAACTGTGAACCTGTTACTGAAGTATGTGAAAGTTCTCGAGTCGCTCGTGCCAGCGGAGGGGCAGGAACAGCGCCGTTTCTCTACCGTGCTGATTCGATCGATCAGTATGGTGCTGGCACGGCGCTGACACGGCGCGCACGGCAGCCCTGGAAAGCAAAACCAGTATGGTTCCGTATACCTCTGTGTTAGGCCGGCCCTGTCTTCAAAAGTACATTGCGTTCATCGTGGAACGAATATGCACCCTCTGCTTTGACGTACTGCTTGAATGACACCAAATAAAAGCAAAGAATCTTTTATTTTTGTACGACTCTAAAAAAGAAGTCGACCATATTCGAGCACGAATTATCAGTTTCCAGCTCCTTCCTTCTTCTCTTTGGGTATTCCATCTGTCACGGCCCGCCTCTACATAGACAAATTGAATTTGTATTTGTTCACATGGCACTCCCTAATAAGCGTTCGACCCATATCTAGCAGACCGAATACTCCTAGGAATTGAATCTCCTTGTCCATAAAGTTCGACATAGCCTAAAATCATGCAGTTTAGGCAACTTCAACCTGTGTTGAAGAATTTTGTGGCTCACTTCGATGCTGGCCATCATGTGTTCTATTTGAATGATCTGATTGAGTCGGTCGTCAAAAGAAACTTTCTCCGAGTTGAGATGTGCGAGAAGAGCCGCGCGATGTCGAGCTTTCTCATGCGCTATCAATGCCTTTCCTTCTGCTGTTAGGCTGCTATAGGTGAAACCTAAAGACTAGTATCAGTAACGTTTCCCCATCAATGCTATATCAATCAAAGCATTTGAAAGCACAGTCCATTCAAATCGAGGATGACAAAATTTTGGTGTTATTAAGGTTGAACCGAAAGTTTGTTCGCACCATTGTCAAAAAATCGTAACTTCTTTCTCTTATGACAATCTTGAGCGACCAAAATAATTTTAAAAAGAGCAAAGCGT